TTTTTGTTTTTTTGAGACACAATCTTGCTTTGTTGCCTGGGCTCAAGTACCATGGTGCGATCTCAGCTCACTGCAACCTCCACCTGCCAGGTTCAAGCAATTCTCACACCCTAGCCTCCCAAGTAGCTGAGACTACAGACGTGTGCCACTACGCTTGGCTAATTTTTTTTGTATTTTTAGTGGAGATGGCATTTTACCATGTTGGCCAGACTGGTCTCGAACTCCTGACCTCAGGTGATCTGCCTGCCTTGGACTCCCAAACCACTGGGATTACAGACGTGAGACACTGTGCCTGGCCTAGAGTTGGTTTCTAACTTCTCTTTTTCTCCTATATGATATAAAAGGCAAATATATAAAGCAATAATAAATCTATGTTAATGCATGCACAATATGTAACAATGGAGTCGGTGACACTAACAAATAAAGAGAATGATAGAGATGTGTTTACATACTGTTGAATCTAAGTTGGTAAAAGTTGGTATTATTCAAAGTAGGCCATTATAAGACGTTAATTTTTATCCTTAAGGTAAAAACTAAAAGATACACATAAAATGAAAGAAGGAGGAAAAAAAAATGGTACACTACAGCTAGCTGCAAAAAGAAGGTAGTAATAGAAGGCTTAAGAAAACAAAAATTATATAAGAAATACAGAAAACACCTAAGTAGCAGAAGCAACTCCTTTCTTAATTTTTTTTTTTTGAGACAGAGTCTCACTCCATCACCAGGCGCCAGGCTGGAGTGCAGTGGCGCGACCTCGGCTCACTGCAACCTCTGCTCACTGCAACCTCTGCCTCCCGGGTTCAAGCAATTCTCCTGCCTCAGCCTCCCGAGTAGCTGGGACTACAGGCGCACGCCACCACGCCCAGCTAATTTTTTTGTATTTTTAGTAGAGACGGAGTTTCACCATGTTGGCCAGGATGGTCTCCATCTCTTGACCTCGTGATCCGCCCACCTCGGCCTCCCAAAGTGCTCGGATTACAGGCATGAGCCACTACGCCTGGCCAGCAACTCCTTTCTTAACAGTACTTACTTTAAATGTAAGTGAATTTTAAATTACTGTGATTAATTTCCAGCTAAAGGCAAAGATTGGCAAAATGAATTTTTTAAAAAGTGTGTTCCAGATTTCTCAGGCTTCTTCTCCATTTTTTTTTTTCTTTTTTGAGATGGAGCCTTCTGTTGCCCAGGCTGGAGTGCAGTGGCATGATCTCAGCTCACTGCAACCTCTGCCTCTCAGATTAAAGCAATTCTCCTGCCTCAGCTGCCCCAGTAGCTGAGATTACAGGTGCATGCTGCTATGCCCGACACATTTTTGTATTTTAGTAGAGGCGGAGTTTCACCATTTTGGCCAGGCCAGTCTTGAAATCCTGACCTCAAGTTATCCGCCTGTCTTGGCCTCCCCAAGTGCTGGGATTACAGGCATGAGACACTGCACCTGGCCTTCTCAGGCCTCTTTTATAAGAGTACTAATCCCATTCATGAGTGGGGAGCCCTCATGACCTAATCACCTCCCTAGGCCTCTATCTGTTAATGCCATCACCTTGCGGGGGTTAAATTTCAATATATGAATTTAGGAGGGGACACAAACATTCAGACCACAGCCACATCATTTAGTGGTTTTTATGGAAGTTTTATTAGGCATGATTGATTAAATCATTGGACACTGGTGATTAACTCTATCTCTAGGCCCTCTGCCCTCTCCCATCTCCAGAGAGCAGGGAATTGTGTTAAAAGTCCTAATCTTCTAACCACATGGTTGTTTCCTCTGGGAACAAGCCCTCATCCTAAAACTACAAGTATGTCTATGTCAGGAACTGGGGACAAAGACCAAATATATATTTCTTCTTATCACAGTTCCAGAATATATTTTATTCCTGTTTATAACTTCTATTTCATTATTGCCATTCTCTTTTTGATCATATATTACAGTTCTGTCTTTTGAGCTCTTTAAGCATCTGTAAGATGTCTTAAAGTCTTTGTCTAGCAAGTCTGACTTCTGGGCTTCCTCAGGTACATTCTCTCTCAGTATATTTTGTTCCTTTGAACAGACAACTTTCTTGTTGTGTGTGCCTTGTAATTTTTGTTGAAAACTAGACATTTGAATCCTATAATGTGGTAATTTTGGAAATAAGGTTCTCCTCCTTTGCCAGGGTTTTGTTTTAATTGTTGTAGGCTGTCTTTGTGCTGTAGATCATTTTAGTTGGGAAACAAGTTGGGAAATGTATGAATCTGTTCTAATTTCTAAAATAATTTAAGAATGGTAATTAATTCTTTATGAAATTATAGACACCTTCGACAGACATCATGCTAGAAAGAAAATCATGGCCATCTTTTTATTGGCCTCTTATTGCTATTTTCCACTTTAATAATATGTAGCTTAAAGTTATATTATATATCATTGGATAATTTTCTACTAACCGCAAAATATTAAGAAAAAATGATGTAATGATATAATAAAATTTCACCTTATATAAAGGGAGTTTCAAAATGTTACTTAAAAATTAGTGTTGTTCTTTGTAAAATCTATTCAACAAATCTCTTAGTTTTATTCTTATAATACTTCATTCAAAAATTTATAACTAACTCAAATGAATCACTGTACCTATATGTTTCAATAGCTTGCATGTCTTCTTCATCAAATTCATCTTCAGCTTCCTTCAGCTGTGCAAGAGTCATCTTTTCAAATGGTTTAACTAAAACAACATAAATTATAGATTATCAAACGGTTAAAATTTTTTGTTTTATATTACAGTCAATATCTAGAAAAAACTGTCTTAGATAAAGGAAATTAAGACTATCTTTAAACAGCCAGGTGTGATGGCTCACACTAGTAATCCTAGCACTTTGGGAGGCTGAGGTGGGCAGATCAATTGAGGTCAGGAGTTCAAGACCAGCCTGGCCAACATGATGAAACCCCATCTCTACTAAAATTACAAAATAGTCAGGTGTGGTGGCAGGCACTTGTAATCTCAGCTACTTGGGAGGTTGAAGCAGGAATATCACTTGAACCTGAAAGGCAGAGGTTGCAGTGAGCAGAGATTGTGCTGCTGAATTACACCCTGGTCAACAAAGTGAGACTCTGTCTCAAAAAAAAAAAAAAAAAAGAGTATCTTTAAACAAACATAAAGCAGCCAGCCACCAATAAAAAACCTATCTATACATATTATAGAAAGTATAACATTAAAGTATTATTTCCTCAAGGTTCACAGAACTGACAGGCTGTAGCCTAGTTTTAAATGTATTTAAAACTAGGTATGAAAACCAATTAGATTCCATAAATTTAGATTCCCCTCAAGTACCCAGAAATCTTGTTAAATAATACATACTATAAAGAATGATCACAATAGATGGTAATCACAAGGTAGAGGGACATGGTGGAAGAAGAAAGCTTACTAGATTACACACCAGGATACGTCAGCTCTGTTGTTAACTAGCATGTGGTTTTCAACATGTAAATTAGTCATTTTAGGTGTCCCATCCAAATACTGAAAATAGGTGGGGTTTATATTAAATGATTTCTAATGTCTTCTCTCCCACTATGTTCATGAAATACCTTACTACTACCTTAACCATATTAATCCCATCATCCAGCCCAGCAAATGTACAACTATACCCATTGCTTCTTTCTGTAAACGTAAAACCATCTCTTCAATTTCATCTTTTGGCTCTTCTTTAGGAGGTAGAATGCCAAAGTCTCTTAAAATGTCATTCCATTCTGTATCTTCATTGGGATCCTACACAAAAAGAAAAGAAAATTAACATGGTTGTACACGTTAATATGTATTCGGAAAATTCATTGACATGTAGCACTTCCAAGTATTCAATTGTTCATGAACTCTACAGTTAATTAGTTTTGAAGAATAAAGCAAAGTGACCTACTTTTTCCTACTTCCCAGCACTAATGGCATTATATGCTTCACTGAAAAGTTTAATAAAATGTCAATTTAGAATACATATATAGAATATTAAGGAAGTATCTTCTAAGTTATGGAAAATTTGCTGATGGCTACATTAGGCAAAACCAATTCACATCATACACAAATACACTTTGGTTTCTTTAACGACATGTGCATTCAAGACCACTAGATGAATTTACCTTTTTTGGAGACAAAGTCTTCCTCCATCAACGAGGCTGGAATGCAGTGGCACAATCATCTTGGCTCACTGCAACCTCCACCTCCTGGGTTCAAGCAATTCTCATGCCTCAGCCTCTGGAGTAGCTGAGGCTATAAGCTGGCTCCAACATGCCCAGCTAATTTTTGTGTTTTTACAGGGTTTCCCCATGTTGCCCCAGCTGGGCCTGAGCTCCTTGTCTCAACTGATCCTCCCTCCTTGGCCTCCCAAAGTGCTGATTATCTTTGCTAATTCTAAAATTGTGTTGTTTTCTTACTACTGTTATTTGAGTTCTGTATATATTTTAAGTAGTAATGCCATGTCAAGTGTATTGCTTGCAAACATTTTCTCCCAGATTGTCTCTTCACTTTATCAACTGTTTCCTTTACTGTGCAGAAGCATTTTAGTTTGATGTAATCTTATTTGTCTATTCTTGCTTTTGTTGCCCGAGATGGGGGGATTAAATCCAAAAATTCACTGCTTGGACCAACAGTGTGTAGTTTTTCCTCTGTGTTTTCTTCTTGTATCATATTTTCACAATTTCAGGTCTTATATTTAAGTCTTTAATCCATTTTTAGTTGATTTTTATAGACGGAGCTGGATAAAGGTCCAATTTCATTCTTCTGTATGTGGATATCCTGTTTCCCAGCACCCATTATTGAAGAGACTGTCCTTTCCCCCATTGTGTGTTCTTGGCCCGTTTGTCAAAAGTCAATTGACTGTAAATGTGTGGATTCATTTTTGAGTTCTCCATTGGTCAATGTCTATTTTTATGCCAGTACCATGCTGTTTTGATTACAATGGCTTTGCAATATAGTTTGAAGTCAGGTAATGTGATGCCTCCAGTATTTTTCTTTTTCTTTTTTTTTTTTTAACAGAGTCTTGCTGT